CCAGCAGCAGCAGCAGCAGCAGCAGCAGCGACAGCAGCGCAGCTGCGGCCCCGCCGCGGCTTCAGGAGGAAGGTTCTCTCGTCTGTCCTCTTGCTGCTGCTGCTGCTGCTGCTGCAGCTCCATATTGACAAGGCCAGCTGCAGTCTCGTCTTCAGGGCTCGTACAGCCAGCAGTAACAGCTACAGCAACAGCTGCAGCAATAGCTGCAGCAGCCGCAGCAACAGCTGCAGCAGTAGTAGTACTGTTAATGGAAGCAGCAGGCGCACTGTCTCTGCCCATCGGCTGATATCTGAGGGGGTCAATCACTGCGGCTCCCTCTCTATCCCCTACACACCGCAGCAGCAGCAGCAGCAGCAGCACGAACTTCTGCTGCAGCCGCTGCAGCAAACCCCCCAGCATCAAGCTGCCTTGATCGGCAGGGTCCATAGCAGGCGGCGATCCGTTTTTTTCCTGAGGCCCAGGCACAGCAGCAGTCTTGCTGCAGCACGTTGTGACGCAGCAGCAGCAGTAGCAACAGCAGCAGCAACAGCAGCAGCATCGGGAGGTGTCCGTACAGCTCATTCAAAGGGAGCTTCAGAAAGGAAGCGATTAAATCAAATGATGCCAGGAGCGCGGGTGGGGGCAACGAGGACGTCAGCAGCAGCAGCAACAGCAGCAGCAACAGGAGCAGCAGCAACAGGAGCAGCAGCGACAGGAGCAGCAGATGTGCCGCCTTCAGCTGCGAAGGTGAGGAGGGTGGGGGGGGGCTCTTTGGATGTCATAGAGCTGTCCTTCTCCTCCCTCGACTCCACGCAGAAGTGGGCAGAGCGGCATCTAGACGAGCTCGTGTATGCACACCTGCAGCAGCAGCAGCAGCAGCAGCAGCAGCAGAAGCAGCAGGAGCGGCAGGGGGGGTGCTGCCTGTGCATAACTGCAGCGCAGCAAACCGCTGGTGTGGGTACTCGGAGAGGAGATACAGGAGAGGAGCGTCGTTGGGTTTCTGCTGCAGGAAATTTGCATGCAACATATTTGCTGCCTTGGCGGCAGCAGCAGCAGCAGTTGCTGCTGCATCTACCTTTTGTTGCTGCTCTGTCTGTACAGCGCGTGCTGCAGCAGCTAGGCGTTCAATACCCACAGATCAAATGGGTCAATGATGTTCTCGTTCACAACAAAAAAATTGCGGGTGTTCTCTGCCAGAACACCAACCGCACCCTTTCTGCTGCTGCTGCTGCTGCTGCTGCTGCAGCTGCTGCTGCAGGGCAAAGGACTCCTGCAGCACCAGCAGCAGCAACAGCAGCATCTGATGATGTTGTTGTTTTGATGGGGATCGGCCTCAATCTTATTTCTCATCCTTGGGGGCAGCTGAGTGACTGCTGCTATCAAGGCAGCACAGATGTGCGTGAGGTGCTGCAGCAGCAGCAGCAGCAGCAGCAACAGCAACAGCAACAACAGCAAAAACAGCAGCTAAAACAACTGCTGCTGCATCAGTACAACGACCTCGCCATGTGGCCGCCTCCCTCTTCTCTTT